GTTCATGGCTGGTGGCACTCTGGGGGCCCTCTCCTTCCTCAGGCAGGCCACATTGTGGAGGACAGCACAACAGTAATGTCACATGCCCTCACAGGAATTTGTGAAGTCAGTGAAAGCGTGCCTTCAGGAGGCCAAAGGTCATTTCAACTCTGGCCCTGGTCCGGGCATGGGCATGGTTGTAGGCCTGCTGTGCTTCCTGGGGGTCTGTGAAAGGTGTTAGGAGAAAAGACTGGCAGCCATACCCCCTGTCTCCCAGCAACACACCAGAGAATTCACCTGTCAACACAAAATCTCATCATTACTACCTCATAAACACAGTGATATTATTGACACAGCCATGATGTAAAACGTGGTTAATAGGGGTTGTGTGGCTCATCTTGTGATAGGCGCCGATAGATTTCAGAGGCCCGAAAGATTCTGGAGTCATGGACTGAGCCAGGCCATTTTGCCACAACATTGCTGATCACACAGTCAGCATTGCAGACGATCTGAAATCATAAGATGAGGAATATTAAACCAATCAATGCACATCACTGGCAAGGCACAGTGTTCATCAATGGACAATATCAAAAAGTTATGTTCACCTGAACATTAATGCTGTGAAAGGATTTCACCACCACAGCAGCCGACCACTGTCGTCATCAGGGAAGATTGCCGGATTGTCCCAGTCCATGGCTGGTGGCACTCTGGGGGCCCTCTCCTTCCTCAGGCAGGCCACATTGTGGAGGACACCAAAAGCCACAGTAATGTCACATGCCCTCACAGGGCTGACCCTTAATTTGTGAAGGCAGTGAAAGCGTGCCTTCAGGAGGCCAAAGGTCATTTCAACTCTGGCCCTGGTCCAGGCATGGGCATGGTTGTAGGCCTGCTGTGCTTCCTGGGGGTCTGTGAAAGGTGTTAGGAAAAAGGACTGCCAGCCATACCCCCTGTCTCCCAGCAACACACCAGAGAATTCACCTGTCAACACAAAATCTCATCATTACTACCTCATAAACACAGTGATATTATTGACACAGCCATGATGTAAAACGTGGTTAATAGGGGTTCTGTCGCTCATCTTGTGATAGGCGCCGATAGATTTCAGAGGCCCGAAAGATTCTGGAGTCATGGACTGAGCCAGGCCATTTTGCCACAACATTGCTGATCACACAGTCAGCATTGCAGACGATCTGAAATCATAAGATGAGGAATATTAAACCAATCAATGCACATCACTGGCAAGGCACACTGTTCATCAATGGACAATATCAAAAAGTTATGTTCACCTGAACATTAATGCTGTGAAAGGATTTCACCACCACAGCAGCCGACCACTGTCGTCATCAGGGAAGATTGCCGGATTGTCCCAGTCCATGGCTGGTGGCACTCTGGGGGCCCTCTCCTTCCTCAGGCAGGCCACATTGTGGAGGACACCAAAAGCCACAGTAATGTCACATGCCCTCACAGGGCTGACCCTTAATTTGTGAAGGCAGTGAAAGCGTGCCTTCAGGAGGCCAAAGGTCATTTCAACTCTGGCCCTGGTCCAGGCATGGGCATGGTTGTAGGCCTGCTGTGCTTCCTGGGGGTCTGTGAAAGGTGTTAGGAAAAAGGACTGCCAGCCATACCCCCTGTCTCCCAGCAACACACCAGAGAATTCACCTGTCAACACAAAATCTCATCATTACTACCTCATAAACACAGTGATATTATTGACACAGCCATGATGTAAAACGTGGTTAATAGGGGTTCTGTCGCTCATCTTGTGATAGGCGCCGATAGATTTCAGAGGCCCGAAAGATTCTGGAGTCATGGACTGAGCCAGGCCATTTTGCCACAACATTGCTGATCACACAGTCAGCATTGCAGACGATCTGAAATCATAAGATGAGGAATATTAAACCAATCAATGCACATCACTGGCAAGGCACACTGTTCATCAATGGACAATATCAAAAAGTTATGTTCACCTGAACATTAATGCTGTGAAAGGATTTCACCACCACAGCAGCCGACCACTGTCGTCATCAGGGAAGATTGCCGGATTGTCCCAGTCCATGGCTGGTGGCACTCTGGGGGCCCTCTCCTTCCTCAGGCAGGCCACATTGTGGAGGACACCAAAAGCCACAGTAATGTCACATGCCCTCACAGGGCTGACCCTTAATTTGTGAAGGCAGTGAAAGCGTGCCTTCAGGAGGCCAAAGGTCATTTCAACTCTGGCCCTGGTCCAGGCATGGGCATGGTTGTAGGCCTGCTGTGCTTCCTGGGGGTCTGTGAAAGGTGTTAGGAAAAAGGACTGCCAGCCATACCCCCTGTCTCCCAGCAACACACCAGAGAATTCACCTGTCAACACAAAATCTCATCATTACTACCTCATAAACACAGTGATATTATTGACACAGCCATGATGTAAAACGTGGTTAATAGGGGTTCTGTCGCTCATCTTGTGATAGGCGCCGATAGATTTCAGAGGCCCGAAAGATTCTGGAGTCATGGACTGAGCCAGGCCATTTTGCCACAACATTGCTGATCACACAGTCAGCATTGCAGACGATCTGAAATCATAAGATGAGGAATATTAAACCAATCAATGCACATCACTGGCAAGGCACACTGTTCATCAATGGACAATATCAAAAAGTTATGTTCACCTGAACATTAATGCTGTGAAAGGATTTCACCACCACAGCAGCCGACCACTGTCGTCATCAGGGAAGATTGCCGGATTGTCCCAGTCCATGGCTGGTGGCACTCTGGGGGCCCTCTCCTTCCTCAGGCAGGCCACATTGTGGAGGACACCAAAAGCCACAGTAATGTCACATGCCCTCACAGGGCTGACCCTTAATTTGTGAAGGCAGTGAAAGCGTGCCTTCAGGAGGCCAAAGGTCATTTCAACTCTGGCCCTGGTCCAGGCATGGGCATGGTTGTAGGCCTGCTGTGCTTCCTGGGGGTCTGTGAAAGGTGTTAGGAAAAAGGACTGCCAGCCATACCCCCTGTCTCCCAGCAACACACCAGAGAATTCACCTGTCAACACAAAATCTCATCATTACTACCTCATAAACACAGTGATATTATTGACACAGCCATGATGTAAAACGTGGTTAATAGGGGTTCTGTCGCTCATCTTGTGATAGGCGCCGATAGATTTCAGAGGCCCGAAAGATTCTGGAGTCATGGACTGAGCCAGGCCATTTTGCCACAACATTGCTGATCACACAGTCAGCATTGCAGACGATCTGAAATCATAAGATGAGGAATATTAAACCAATCAATGCACATCACTGGCAAGGCACACTGTTCATCAATGGACAATATCAAAAAGTTATGTTCACCTGAACATTAATGCTGTGAAAGGATTTCACCACCACAGCAGCCGACCACTGTCGTCATCAGGGAAGATTGCCGGATTGTCCCAGTCCATGGCTGGTGGCACTCTGGGGGCCCTCTCCTTCCTCAGGCAGGCCACATTGTGGAGGACACCAAAAGCCACAGTAATGTCACATGCCCTCACAGGGCTGACCCTTAATTTGTGAAGGCAGTGAAAGCGTGCCTTCAGGAGGCCAAAGGTCATTTCAACTCTGGCCCTGGTCCAGGCATGGGCATGGTTGTAGGCCTGCTGTGCTTCCTGGGGGTCTGTGAAAGGTGTTAGGAAAAAGGACTGCCAGCCATACCCCCTGTCTCCCAGCAACACACCAGAGAATTCACCTGTCAACACAAAATCTCATCATTACTACCTCATAAACACAGTGATATTATTGACACAGCCATGATGTAAAGTGGTGTGTATCTAAAACAATTGGACATAACCTTACACATTAAGACAAATATTAAGACTAGCATTACAGTTGACCCTAACAGCTCTTTTCCTGTAACCTTGACGTGCCTGCAGTCTGCACTGCAGGCTGAACAGTTAACAGCCTGAGCTAGTCAACCTGTCTGCACTAACATTCCTAGACAACAAATCTCTGAATATCTATCTAACTAAAAAAATAACCTAACAAGGTGCTAAAAAACAAACTGTTAGAAGGAACAATTCAAACAACACATTGAAAGTGGAATGTGAAGCACTAAAGACCCTTTTGTGAATGAATCCGTGTCTGCTCATCCTGGCTTGGTCTTTGTGCAACCAATTAAGCCTGGACGCACGTGTTTTGGATTCATTGAGCTCAGCTCAGTCATTTATCCTGGATGTCTTAATTCTACTTTTGTGCAACAGGCCCCTGGTTTGTTCCTTTGTAAAAGTGTGTTTGTTTTGTTTTTTTATGGTTGCAGAGATTTCTAACCTGCTTGTGGTCACTAAAGATAGACCCCCACAGCAGATAGCCAAGCACGAGAGTCAGCTCAGCTTCCATCGCATTCTCAAGGAGGAGATTGAGCAGGTACACCTTCTTCACATCTGTCTGCCATGTTACAACAGCAGTCTCGTCCTTATGACATTATAGGCTGTGTGCAGGTGTAAACCTTCCCAAATTATTTACACAGAATTACATTTATGTTAAGGATGGTGTTTTGTATTTCAGAAATTGTACAGCATTTGACTTTTTTGAATTCCTCGTATTTGCATAGCTCTGCACAGAATGTAACTAACAACTGATTTAATCTTTTATTTTAATAGAAGTATAGTTTGTAAGAGAAAGGGGATTTTTCCAGTATGAAGATGCTGGTGTTGGATGTTATCTTCACTCTGTGAACTTGCATGTCATTGTGATTATATAGAAATATCTCGGGTTACACAGGAATGTATTTAACAGTTTCAGAATCTTCATAGCTGCGTTTAGCTGAAGTTTTCAAAAGCGTCACAAGCCATAAAACTATTTTATGCTTGCTTCTTTGTTTTCTCTGATCCCTGCTGTGTTAACCAGGAGGAGCACCTTGGCCTGGGCACAAGAACTAACATCTACTCAGGCACACTGAAGGTGAAGAGTGAGGAGGACGAAGATGCAGGTTACACGTCCTTCCAGGAGGTCAAGGTGGTCCTGAAGGTGCTGGGTTCTGGACAGAGGGACATCTCCTTGGTGAGACATGGTCAAAGATACTTTTCTTGCACACCTGTTCTTATGAGGACTAACATCTAAGCACTGTGAAAGCTGATAACGTATTAGCAGTAAGCTGTTTCAAAATCAGAGCTTAAAGGTTTCAGTAGGTCTTCTTCTACTTGCTGTCGACAGGCCTTCTTCGAAACAGCCAGCATGATGCGACAAGTGTCCCATAAACACATTGTGCTGCTGTATGGAGTGTGTGTCCGCCATCTGGAGAGTAAGTGCCTATTAAGAAGTGTGGGAGGATGTGGTGCTGTGCATCAAGCTTCCTAACTCTCTTTCATCCCTTTGTGCCACAAGATATCATGGTGGAGGAGTTTGTCCAACTAGGACCACTGGACCTTTTCATGAGGAGACAGCAGAGTCCACTCAGCACGCCATGGAAGTTCCAGGTGGCCAAGCAGCTGGCCTCAGCTCTCAGCTACTTGGTAAAAGAGAAAGAAACACACACATATACACCAATGATAAGAATGGCATCACATGCCATTCC